AATAATAAAAATTACTTAATGATATTGTAAAAAAGTTTACAAGAAGAAAGATAAACAACGGCATGAAATGACGTTAACTATGTACATTTACACAGCAACAACAGAATTAAGCGTAAATTGTAGGCGGATAATTGAAGAAATGAAAAAGAAATCTCTTTTTGTTCTTTTAATGCCTTTTTATAAAAAGGAAATGTTGACTGAAAACAAGACGATTTATTAATGTTTTTATAAATAGATGAGAGATTTATGGCAGCCAAGATATGAGATTTGTAGGATTACCTACAAGATGAATGAAAAGAAAAAAAAAAGGAAAATTAAAGACATTTGAGTTTATTTTGATGGAAAAATTAGCTTTAAATTTGATGTTTATTACAATAAAGATTCATTAGAAATGTGCAAGTTCTTTTAAAAAGGATGTCATTGACTACGCTACTAGCTCTGCATATCCAATATGATTATGATTTGCCTTACAGCGAAGTCATCCTCAAAAATATAATTCCAATTATTATTCAAAACAAAACAATGAAAACTCAAAGTTGATTTCATAGAATTGTTATTACGGGATTCTCCCCATAATCATAGCTAATGAAGTCTTTATTAAAAATTTTTGTGCAAAAACTTCACAAATTATTAAGAAGATTTTGTATCTTTTTATTTTCAGCAAGCGACTGAATAATGAAGACCAAAAGAATTATCATAAGCCCCTGAATATGTACATAGACGATGCTTAAAATCATAATCTAGTTATTTCGTTCATTTGTTTGCGGTTATGTCGTTCAACATATCTCTTAGTCTTTTGTCTTTGTTAAGCCATCATCATTTGTTTACATTTTGTGTCAGGCATTTTGTGTTGGCTTCAGGGATGTTGATGGGGATTGAAGATTTCTGGTGACTTTATTTGGGTTCTATAATTGGAGAAGGCTGAATTCTAAAGGCTACGGAACTAGCTGCATTAAGGACAAGACATTTTATCAAATTCCCTGCCATATCCTTTAAAATTCCTTTTCAATAGAAAATCAACAGCAAAAAAAACTACCATAGAATGCACCAAACATTCATGCATTCAATTTTTGACTGAATAACATGTCATCTATGCATAATGGAATGTGAATCGTCCCTTACGTTCCTCAATTTGTCATGAATAAATATTCACAAGACACTGAAGGTTGCATTATTAATCATAATATTTGCTATGGATAAAAAGTGCATACTGTTGTCGACTTCAAAGCAATACCATTAATTTTCATAGCAAATATAACACAATGTGTACATGAATGCTCATTTTATGTCATTTAACTTGAAACAATTTATTCATCATTGAGCATTTAGTCACGATGATGATAATGGGCACACTCAATTGAGTGGGAAAATGAGTGGAAAAATTGATTTCGCTTCTTCTTTAAAGGATGAGGCGAGGCGTGCTGGAAACTCTTTTTGAAAAATTAATAAATATTGTGAGATTAAATAAAAGACATTTTATGTAATTTAACTGTAATTTCGTTCTGACGTCGATAAGTCCATTACTGAATGACATTCATTTCAGTTTAGATTTGTTGGAATGAATCAAATCGGAAATATTTTGGAAGAAGATTTAATGAGATATGATTTTGAGGGGAATTGATGTAGATGAGTGCATTTTGGCGCTTTAAAAGTAGGAAATATGAAAAAAAGATGCTAAGTTGAATAAAAGAAGCAGAAAAAGATGCAAGGACGACTAAAATAAGCATAAAGGAAGTTAAAATAATCAAAAGATGCGGAACAGATGCAGAAATATTTCAATTAAGACGCAAAAATCACAGAACAGAATAAAAGAAGCGAAGGATTTTTATAAGTGATTCAAATTGATTCCAGACAAACTGCAAAGCAATCCAAACTCATCAATAATCTTCACAAAAACTCCAATTCCTCTCACAAACCAAGAAGAAAAATAATCGATAACAAATAAATTATTTTATTATTGACGAAAAATAATCCTTAATGGACAAAAAAATTCAATATATTAAAGCATCAATTGAGCATTAAATTTCATCACAAATTTCTAATTAAACATTAATACCAAAATGACGTCGTAGGAAAGGAGAGCAAGGAAAATAATTATGTCGTAGGGCAATAAAAACGGAGTTGTACATCAAATTCATATTAAATGGAAAATGTTCATTTATTTATAACACATGTGGAAGTCCTCAATGAGATAATGGCTAGTGTATTGGCATAAAAAAAGACAAAAGCAATGAAAAGATAAAGAAGTCCTCATTTCTGTGGATTTATGACATCGAAAAGTACTTTAGTCTTCCATATATGCTTCCATGACTCAAATGTGTTGATCATAATACATAAAAATGAAAGAAGATGAACAGAGAAAGCAGAAAAAATTCATAAATAATAGACGAAGGGAGGATATCCATATACGAGTGTTAGGAAAAAGATTTTCTTTTTCCATTCAATTTCAAAGGGATTTTCCGCGATACTTTGAGTTATTATTGTATTGCAAGCAGATCATATTGCTTTAACTTTTTTCTCTATTTCTATGCTATGCTTCTTGTTGCTGTATTTAAAACTCTTTAAATGGAAATTTAATATCCGTAAAATTCCATTTTGATACTTTTTCTTTCCTTTTGTTCACCGTTTTCCTGATGCAAACTCACTGTGGAATTGGATGAGATATTATTGTTGAAAATATGTTGGATGGAGACGTAAGGATATACAGTTTGAAGAATATCGAATTCTTGTTATTGAGAATTTTTCTGGGAAATGTTTTGATTCAAAATTCTTAAATATTGAAAATTTAATTGCGTATGGGTAGGGTTACCATCTAATTTTCATGAAAATACAGGACATTTGGTAAATTTTTTCGAAAAAATACAGGACATTGAGTAAAATTCAAAAATTAACGGAAATTTTCATGAAAAAAATACAGGACCAAGAACAATATTTAAAAATTTATACAGGACAGTCTTGAAAAATACTGGACTGTCCGTTGAAAAACTACGCAGATGGTCACCCTACGTATGGGAGAACAAAGCTCTCCCAATATCGTTTTTAAATGGGAATCGAACTTGTATCTTCATAAAAGCAATAGTTTTAGTCGATTATCGATGACTAAGACTCTATAAAACTCCTGTCAAAACAACAATTTATAGTAGAAATCGTAGAAATTCAAAATAAGATTCCTTAAAATCCATAAATCGATATTTTTCAAATTTAACCCAAAACATCCCACCTCAAATAATCGACAATCGATTTTCGTGCATCAAAAAAATTTCATCACAACTAAAACTCATTTAATTCCTTAATTCAAGTTATAAATCTAATCCATTATTCAAATAAAATTCCCTTTATAAAATTCTATCAATCAGACGAATCACTGTCGAAGACTCAAGCAAAGGAAAAGGAAATAAAAATGTGAAAAAATTCCCACACATTTAAATGACATGCTTTCAAGTATTATTAAATGATTCAAAACATAATGCTTTAAATCACGGCATAAAAAAAGAGCGAAGCGAAATAAAAATCAATGTGATATATTTTCATCGATACTCTACTTGAATTAAAATAAAATATGTCATGCAGATTCTCATTTTTCGTTGTCATGTCTCTTGATGCTTTTATTTACTTCAATATTATGATACAATTACTGGCGCCATTTCAATCACTTTTTTGTTGCTATATTGATGAAAATGTAGGTGAGAGTCCTTGTGAGAATAGTTGAGGAAATTTTTGGAGGTTTTGATTTTAATGGTTTATTTTAGTTTAAATTTTCGAACTTAAAATTTGATTTTTTTGATTAAATCAACTTTTAACGGTCGAATAATTTTTAAATGTATAGTTTCTGATATTTCAAATTTTAAAATCAAACTTTTCAAAATTCAAATTCAAATTTTTCGAAAAACGTGTTCAAATTTCGAAAAATCACACAAACTTAACCTACCAACAAATTCCCAAGCATAATAATAATTCATTGACGATACCGAACACCACATTAAATTATCCTTACAATAAAAAACCCAGCAAAAAAGGAACAAAAAATAATTCTGAGGTCTTAATATAATAATAACTAATAGCTTATTGAGTACAGTAATTATTTATCATCTTGATGGGCGGCAATAATTTGTAAACATAAATCTCTTACTGTGCATGGGAATGTGTCATAAGTGGATGTTATTTCCCTGTAGTGGTCGTCACTTTCCTCCTACCTTACCCAACCCTCTGATTTTCCACAACAAATTTACTTACATTTGCCATTACCAAAAAAAGACAGAACTTTTTATGAGATACACAGGAAGATGGAGAGGACATGAAATGATGCGTCACTAAAAGCCTCATGTCTCCTTCCACTCACCGCAGGGCATTGTCACTAAAATGTAGCATGAATCCTGAGCTTTATACATAGTAATTTATTTTATTTTTTTATTCCTTGTGTAACTTGCTCTCCACTCACTCATCCATTGCACATAAATTCCATTCGTCTATCTTTAGGAGCAATTTTTTGCTGTTAAATGAGTTTTATGGGAGTCTGTTGTGAAAGATGCTCGGAAATTGTCTGGCAGACTAGACAAAAATATCTCAATTTTGGAGAATTCACATTTTTAACGGTTCTGTAAAATTCAAATTTTAACGGTTTTTTCAAATCTAAATGCGCCTCATAACTTCCATCCTCAACATATTTTCAACAACTTTTCCATCCTATTCCATGCAAACAAAGAAGGGAGCATCAATGGCAATGAGACATACAATCCTGGTACTTTCACTACAACATCTACATCACAGAATGAGACGAACTAGTGTTGACATGTAATTGATGATGCATAATTTGTCATTCATTCCTGTTTTTTTTCTTTCCATCTTCATTCTATGACAATGCGATGTTGTGCGTGCGAATGGCGCGTCATTTGACGAGCTAAAGAAAAAATTAGAAGGGAATTGAATAGAAAATATTGATGGAGAAAAATCACATCGGTTGAGGATCTTAATTCAGGTAGAATTTATTATATATTTTTTTACTGTACAATAGTAGCATATTGTGAATGACGATGTGAGTGAGACGTGATGATGAAAAACTGCACTAGATAAATAATTCATTGACCTTATGCCCTCATTTATTTATATCAAGTATCATCGTTACTTCTTTCTGTAATATCCACCGCCTGTTTCTATTTCTGGTGTCGATGTCGACTTGTCTTCTGTTTTGTAACGAATAAAGTACACTTCTGGCTTCGTTGGTTTTGTTGTTCCTGGTGTTGGCATAATTATTTCTGGTAAATCGTCAGGTTTCTTCACCAAAACGTAGACTATTGTTTTCTCTTCAGACGAAGCTTGAATAGGTGGTAATGGTGGAATTGTTGGTGACGCTTGAGTCGGTGCTTTTATGAAAATTATTCGGTAATGTTTCTGCACTGGTTGAACTGGATTCTTTATTGGATATTCTGGATTTGAATAGTCTGGTTCTGGTGGTGGAATGTGGATGTAGACATGTTTATGAATTACTGGTGATGGTGTTGTATCAGCAGATGGTGGTCCATATTCAGATTGTAATGTTGGTGGTCCATAGCTGTTTGAAGGATTTTGAGCTGGTGGTCCATAGCTGTTTGAAGGATTTTGAGCTGGTGGTCCATAACTGTTAGATGGAGGTTGAGAAGGTGCACCATAATTTTTAGATGGTGTAGAGGATATAAATCCAGTGTTTAAGGTTCCATAATTTTGGATCGGTGGTGCAAAGTTCTGACTTGGTGGTCCATATGTGTCTGGTGGGATTGTTGGTGCAAATGGTTGAGGATTTGGACGATTGTAGAACGTTGAAGGTGGTGGTTCACATCTTGCGACTTTCAATACTTTAAGGAGTGATACTAAAAAGATTACCTGTTGAGAAAATATTAGTAAATGAGCCACAGATTTAAAAAACCTTAAATGTATTTAAAAATTGTTGGGTTTGGGATCAAAATCTATAGAAAATAATTTAATCTTGGTCTGGTTTGTAGAGTTAACCATGATGGATCATAGCTTATAACCTATTTTGTACTGCTCGAATGTATGAGCTCTTTTGATCACCAATTCATATTCTACTTTAATATTAAATTCCACAATTTTTATTAATCATAAAGTTTGTCCAATATTATTATAACTATCGTATGTTCAAGGCATACAACAATATCCACTTCAATTTATTTTTAATATCCACAAAAAATCAATATTTCTCTTCTCATGTATAAACAGCCGATAAACTCAAACTTTTCATCACATCCACAGCACTTGACTTGACATGACTTTCCCCAAAACATTAATTCTTGAAGGAACAAACCTTAAGCATTTGACAACTAGTAACAACCATCAATAACAAATGTAATAGACAAACTAAACCATCAAATTTGAAATGCTTTCACTTATATTTGATTTTTAAAAAAGTCGTGAGCTACGCAAAAAAAATGCAAGTGCTGAACAATAATTTTCATTTTTTTTCCTTTCCATTATGATTTAATTACATAAGTTGGTTATGCAAATCATGTGAATTAATCTTTCATCGTCACACATTTGTGGCTTTTCCTCATCCGTTCTTTTCGATGCGAGTAAAATTACATTCTGCAACTACAATGCATGTGCACAGCTCTCAAATTTTTTTTTTTTGTGTTCCTCTCCAATTAAAAGTTTTTAATCGCTTTTTGGTTGAGAGAATTTCCATGCAGTCCCCCCAGAGCAGAACTGAAATATTATTTAAAAATAAATTGTTGTGTATTGTGGGTGGCAGAAGTTGGTAGTATGTAATAGAAATGGGTGGCAAAACTGATGTCTGTTAAAACGGCGCTAAACTTTATGTTACACATGAATTCAGAAATGAATTAATTAAACTTTTTTTTTATGTATGCTTGCAATTTTTGTGACGCTTGAGGCACTTTACATAACTGATTTCCATAAATTAGAGCATTAAAATGAGATGAGAAATTTTTTATTGCTCCTTGAGACTCAGTGCAGCGTAAAAGAGGGAAGGAAAAATGATTTTAGCTTCTGTGCCATGTGGCTGATAAGATAATTCTGTTCACTTTGACATTTAGGGGTTCTTATGCATTTATTTAATCCAGATATTGCGTTATGAATTGCAGTGTCGCAGTGATGAATTAGTTTAGAACAATAAGTCATAAACTTTAAAGCTTGGATACTGATTCACTAGGCATGTAGCTTGTTTGAGCACTTTAACCGACTTAAAAGTAACAAGGAACGTTAAAATGACCTTCCAATCATCAAAACTGCGTCCAATACATCCAATTAACCACCTCATCCACAAACAACTCCACAACTTCTTTCGTTCTTCTTTAAATGTTCTGCAAAATCAGCACAGAAAAAAATATAACCAAGTTGCTGACTCAACAGCTTCTTTTAATGATTAAATAAATGGAGTGTATGTAGTATGTGTGCTCTTGTTGCTAACTTCTTAATAGAAACGATAAGGATGCGATGTCTTTATAGCTTTACGTGACTTGAGGATTTTTTCTTTATTATTTTTTGTTGGGTTTATTTCAAAGTAAATAACTAGGCAAACATGCAACACCGAAAAATTGTGTGTGTGTTGAGCAATTACATAACATAGACATCCACCCAACTATAGGTTAGACCAAGTATGTAGACATAGTCTCAGTAGCAAACATTGAGTGTGAAAAATTGCTGTTTATGTGACGTGGAAGTAAAAATCAACTTTTCTCATTTCATGTTTGGGATTATTATATTTAAACGTATACATTTACAGACGGTTGGTAGTGTAAAAGAGGAAAGACTGCATGTCATGTCATGGAAGGTCTTGGGTGTTGGTAACTTTTGACATATTTGTTTTTACATACATATTGTACACCTAATGCAGAGGTGGTGATATATTGCATTCTAGTAGGATGGTTTTGGACAAGATGGATGTAAAAGTATGTACTGTGAGATATCCACATTATACGATTTATTTTAGACCTGAATTCACCGTCAAATCTCGCATAGTGATGTAATGCACTAGTATGAGCATGTATCCTTAAGATACAGTTAAGCATTCACATTTGTTGCTAAAAGCCAACAACTTGTACTAAAGAAAGCAAATTTCCTCAACAAAAACGAGCAATTCAACATAAAACTTAGACAACCCCATTACACATCATTGTTTATACACCACTGACATAAAAATTTATTTTACATACACTCCAAAAAAGGATAAAAACAGAAAGACGAGGCACATCCTGCTTCTCTATATAGAGACATTTTGTACCATCAATTTTATTATTCATCCGTCCGTTAAAGAAGCTGTTTGTCGCTTGACTAGATTTCTAGGACAGAAAAATGTGTCTAAGCACTTTATGCAACATATGAGAAAAATAAATAATCCAACAATGTCTTTGAATAGATAATAATGTACATCGATTGGGTGGGTGAGATGGAACCCATTCATTACAATAACTGCTATTCCTTTAAGTTTATGTGTAGTTTTATGCTTCACAAACCGTGCCAAACATAGAATGAAAAATGAAAAACAACACATTGTTGATGTGCTTTCGTGTTTGCCGCTTTTTTGCTAGCATTTTTTCCTATTTTTTGTTTCCTTTTTTTATGATGGAGAGAAAAAGTTTTGTTCTTATTTGTTGTTGCTGTGTAATATGTAGAAAGTTTAAAGGATGGATTGAGCTTTAGAAACGCAGTTTAGGTTTCAATTTGTAAAATAAGGTTTAACGGCAGCTTAATGCTGGATTAAGAAAACTAGAATAATTAGCTGCTTTTAAACCTACTAAGTACGGGTCTAGTCTACTCTAAATCAAGTGGTTCTGCACTGAACTGTACAATTGTGAGGATCCTTACTCTTTACATAAATAATAAATTTTAATACCTTGATCAGGACAATATGCTCCAAAACTCAACCATACCAAAAATTTTCATCCTTAAAAAATAACAAAACAAAACTTTTTCCATATCCAATTTTTTTTTTCTATAAATTTTTACATAATAATTTGATAAGGAGTTATTATCGAGTATTATAATTTAGTTGGAAAGGAAACCAAACTTCCAGTTTATTATCCAAAAAAAAGTAGAAGAAAAAGATTCTTTGGCTTCATGCAATTGTGTTGGTAACAAAAAAATCTCCATCATCATTATGGGAGGCTTGAAAAAAAAAGATTTTAATTCTGAAAACTAAATTACGAACAATTTTTTTTCTCTATAGTGATAAAAAATGAGAGTCTGGCGTAAAAATGGGAAGCAAAACTTTTATTTTGTTGCCCACACAAGGAAAAAAAAAGTTTTTCGTCCAGAAAAATAGCATTTAACACCAGTTTACTCGTGTAGGGTTGACTTTATCCCCATCCATTAACAATATGAGATTTTGATGCTATTGAAACTTCATCAAAAATATGCAAATTTCTCATCCACATGGCAACAATACAAAATATTTATCCAACAAAAAAAAAAAGTTTGTACTATATATTGCTACTGTAAAAATATTTGATATCAAACAGCATCAGGAGGGGAGCAGAAATAATTTGAAAGTGACTGTTAATTTGTTTGAAAGTCAACAACAACAACACAAAAAGGGATCACGTCTGATTTTTTTGTTATTATTAAATTTTTTTTTCTTGATAAACAAGGCATAAGTTATGACAAAAAATAATCTCTTTTTGTTTGCGTGTGAGATTGATATGAAAAAAATGTTGGCATGCTTTTGTGGGGGGATGACGGGATGATGCTACATTTTACCTTTGTTTGCCCGAGCAGTAAATGATTTTTTTGAGAAGTTTTGGCAGGAATTAAGAGAATTTCATTCAGTCTTCCTGGTCCAACCTAGTAAAATCTAGTAAAACCTTTTCCAATTTAGTAAAACTTAGTAAAATCTTGTCCAATCAACTTAGTCCAACCTATTCCAATCTAGTACAACTTGGTCTAACCTTTTACAATCTAGTACAACTTATTCAAACCCATTCCAACTTAGAACAACTTAGTCCAACCTTTTGCAATCTAGTACGTAGTCCAAACTATTCTAATCTAGAAAAACTTAGTCCAATCTAGCACAACTCAGTCCAACCTAGTCCAACCTAGTCAAACCTATTTTAATCTATTACAACTTAGTCCCACAGTTTATAGTGAAATTTTAAAAAGGTATTTATGTTGCGTTGAAATTAAAAACTAACATCAATCCTATACAACTCGGCATTCGAAGCCTATAATACAATGAATATCATGTCTGTTTGAACTCTTCAATACATACTGCTATGTACATATATATTAAATTTATTCAATATCAATATTTATATTAAATATGATGAAATAACTAGTTATAAATTTTTTCATGTCATGCGACCCTTTTCACCCGCATATCTACCTTATATGATTAACTTGATATAATAGAGGATTATTCAATCTCATTTCTTCTTACTTGTTCTCATTAATATCACAAAAACAAGCAGCACAAGTCAGAATAATTTTGCTTGAAGCAAAAATTTACAAGTTGGACCCAAAAAAAAAAAAAATCTTTTTTGCTTTATTATTTTATCGTTCTGGCAAGTTGATTGCTAAATCAGCCATCTATTAAGGGATGGAGATGCTGATGAAAAAGATGTTGATAGAACAATGGACGTGATGAATCGTAGGAAAATCTTGATAAAACTTTAATCAACTAATTAGACTGTTTAAATCTACGAATCTGCTCTTCTTTCTATCCCTCGTCTCTGCTCTCTTGTATTGTCGAACCTTAATTCGTAAATTCATTAAATGCCTCTTAAGAGAAAGTTTCCCTTTTCTCAGCTACGGAATGATAAGTTTTGTGTTTTGGCATAGAAAAAAGCCATGGAATTGAAAAATACCACAAAATTTTCATTTTCAAATTCATTTGAATGGAAAAAGTTTTTCATTTTTTTAATGCAAGTTAAAACAATTTTTTTTCCTTCTTACCCCAAAAGAAAAGTTGCTCTGTTTCCTGTTCTTCTGTATTCTACATTGGAAAAGTTTACTTTATTTTATTCTTTGTGTGGAAGCTGTAAAGGAATTTGTTCTGTAAAGACTTTTTTCTTCTAGTTTTCTTACACATTTTTTTTTTGTTTTAAAAGAGAAATATTTTTATTGTTTATTCAGGGGTGCTGTTTATGAATGCTGAAGCTGCAGGTGCTTTTTTGTAAAAGTTTTGATATCAAATTGAGGGTTTTTGGTATAATTAAGAGCATTTAATGATTGACATTAGTTTTATATATGCAAATGTAGGAGGATGAGTCTTTGAGGTTAAATCAGAACCATTCGAAAGCTGAATGCTGCTGTAAATCTTATTTTTGTGTCCAGCCAATATAAACGCCACATTCATAAATCAGAATAGTCATGAAGTCATGCTTTTAGCTCTGGTGACTAGAAACCAACCCTGATCTAGGTAAATTAAAAACTTTTTCCATTTTACAATATGTTGTATTGGAAATTAAGTTATTGTTTTTAACTTCTGCTTTGTAATTCCTTACATTCATTCTTGTATGGCTTTAAAATTGTTTTTTCTTTCTCATGCATGCATGTAATATGCTCTACGACATGAATTGCTGTAAGGAAAATTGAACAAATCTTTTTATAAATTTTCATCATGAACTAAAAAAGTTTTTGGATAAATGAAAGTGCAACTTTTTTTAATTAAGTGATGGAAAAAACTTTTTCTCAATATATTTCAATCTAGCAATAATTTGCTGACAGAATGCATTTAAAAGTTTTTCGATTTTTGGGAATATTTGGTGAAATTTTTATGGTTTTTAGATAGATTGCATTTATTAAGGATTAATTGACTTTACTGATAAAGATTGACTTTAAATTCAATTCAATATAGATTCAGCCTCAATCATAACCAAAAAAATTCAAAAAAATCAGTAAAAATTCTTCAACTTAATCAGCAATGTAACTTTACTCCACATATATCATTGCAAACAATCTCATTTCGCCTCATTAAACCTCCCGCAAAATATAAGTTCCAAAAAAAAAATCACCATATCACATATCCAAAAGATAATCATATTCAGGACAGCAAAGTTCTCTTTTCAGTAACAATTTATCATGTCCATAATTACAAGAAACTCGATACGATATTCATCATCAGTCAAACAGTCTACTTGCTACAATAAAACCGCACCAACAAAACATCATTAACTTAATACTCATCGCTTTATATCTGAATATACCTTTTAGCACCTTTTTGTTCTATAAAATGATAATGGAATGAAAAAAGTTTAAATGAAACATTGTGGAATAGCGGAAAACAGCAATATCAACAAAATAGGCAACAATATTAACAGCAGCATTGCCATCACCTAGAGCAACGAATGTAATTGAAAGCTTCGCATATTTAACACATGAATACTATCGTAAATTTATGCTCAAAATTAATTTTCAACCGAGTGAAGTCATTAAAAGGAAAAGTTTTTTTTATTTGATGTGCTTCTTTTTAGCTGAATTTTATAGCAAAACATTTTTATGTGATGTTTATGGTAGTTTTAGTGTCTTGTGAGGTGACCTTTGAGGGGTGATGGATGTATTAAATTAGTTTGTCGTCGATTTTTGATTTTAAGGTTTATCGAGTATTGTTTCTGTTATGATTCTAGACATAAAATTATCTTTCTATTGATTATTGTAGATTTTGGCATTGAGTTGACTGACTTAACTGTCATTTCTCATGCTGAGAGCTATCCAAAGATAATTAATTTGGAAAGCTAATTTTAATCCCCTTGCAAATCATAAAAAAGATTAGGAATTAAAAGCATTCAAAACAAGATAAAATGCGCTTACACCTACAATAATTCATAGCTAGCAACTTTCATATAACATTTTATATTGAATTGCACTTCATTAATATAGAAAAAAAGCGAGAATGAAAAAAAAACAGCACATAAAGTCAAAGATTCAGGGCAGAATCTGCATAGATGATGAGGTCGATGATACAAAAAAAAAGAAGTAAACATCAAACAGTCAGTGTTGAATGGAATGAAAAAAATATGAATGTATAATTTAATGATTCAAGCATAATAGTGCGTTAAATGTCATGTCATTAATTTGCAATGCTTTCCAATCCATTGGATAATGCCGATTTTAATTAACATTTTCAATGCTTGACGATGGAAATATTTTAATGAGGATTTTTCAGATTTCATCAACATCAGCAGAAAAAAAAAATATTTTAATTTTCATCCAAAATTATTTCCATTAACAGGATTTTCAACTATCTACCCATAAATATGCATGTCCGTTCCACGATGAAAAAAAGTTTACATTTTATTTCCAATTATATGTTCAACGTCATTTCAAATTAATGAATCAAATTTATTCAAATAATCATCATTATCTCTGCTAACGAACTGTACTGTCTGTCGTCAATCGACAGCACATTGCATACGATTAGTTATTGATGGCTCTGTAATCAATTTTTCGTTACCCATTCAATTCTTGTTGAATGTAATTTAATTTCGAATTTATTGAAAAAAAAAATTATTTTGTGGGGAGAGAAAAAAATTTAATTTTGTAAAAACAATTTATTAGAAAAACTCTTTCTTAACGTTATTTATGGTTTGTTGTGGTGTGTAGAATGAGAATTGTTTGGACGAGGGATGGTCGATTGCATTTAATTCAATTATTTACCAGTTGTTTATTAAAGGCCGGAGGTCAATAGAATTTTTCAATTGAAATTTTGGTAATTTAAAATGTAATTTTTCTAAAAGTATGATGATCATTAGCTTTGTACTGCTCAAATGAGTTTGATACTTGGTAGACAAGTGGTTAGACTACAAACCAAAAATCTTTGAGATCTCATGGGTTCAATTCCTACTTGAGTAGTAATTTTGTCTAGAGCAGTTGTTTGAATCCCACTTTACCTTACAACCTACACAATTACTATTTATATCCAAAATTTCCCACTCCTTGACACTATTCCACCCAATAATCGTAGTATAATTTATTAGTAAGTAAGAATGGGGTAGAAAATAATAGTAATAACATGAAAGTCAATGAGTCAATCATCACAAAATTAATAATCATATTCATTTTAAAAATAATTTTCATAATATTCAATAGCTTATGACACGGCATAATTCTATCTAAAGAAAATTTATTATTCTCATTATAAGCATAACGATGTCTTGAAGACGCGCATTATAATGAATAGAAAATCACCCGAAATTAATTTTTATTGTGGAAATTGACGCCAACACAGCAATAACAATAACATTTCTTTTTTGGAGTTAAAATGAAGCATTTTCATTTCCATTCAATCATAAGTTGTTAAGTCATTCGCTGAGTTGAAAGGGAAAGGAATCACAGAACATCATGATAAGCATTTTATATTTTTTCCATCTTGCAAAATTTTTCGGTTTGACGCCGTTCATGCTACAGGTTGATGGAAAGAATCAGAAACCATCGTTGAGATTTTTGGTCCGCATTCCGACATTTTTGATGATTTTCTTTTATTCAATTTGCATCTGTAGTATTTTTTGGAAAAATAAAGCTGTCTCGGAGATTTCAAATACCGCAAATTGGATTCAAGTAAGCATAAATCCTTTTGATGATTTAGAGAATTTTTAAATATCTTCATGAATTTTCGCAGTTCATACCAAATTCAGCAATTTTCTTCATTGTTCTTGTTGCGGCTGATCGGTCTCGTTACACAATTCAGTCAGTTGGAGTTTTGATTCAAGAATTGGATCAAAAGTTGCAAGCCTTGCAGATTTCGTATGGAGCGTCGCATTATCGGATTAAAAGGCTTTCTATTTTCGCTGTTTTCAGTAAATATTGATCCCATCCACATACATATATAAAACTTATTTTTAAATCCTATCAATTTCTATAGTCATAATATGCTGTGCAAGTAGCATTTCAACCCTACACTACGTCATGGGCGTTAATCCATCCGAAGTGGCATCAACATTTTATTGGCTCTCATTTGTAGTTGCTAAAATCGGCTTGTTGACTTTCAACTTTATGTTTGCGCTCTATATGACGGTGCTACTTGAACGCCTACGAATCGTAGGCAAAACCATCGAGTAAGTGTTGAGAAAAATCGATTGTAATTGAATTTTTTTTTGCTATAGCTGAATTCACAAATATTTATTTTTCCATCATCATTCTCATGCAATATATGATTTAGATGGATGATTGAATTGACTTCGAATCCTTCAAAGCCACTGTCATCGAGGGAATCAAATAATAATATGAGACCTATTCTTGCCAATATAATAATACCGTGCACAACTAAGGCTGATATTATTGAGAATATTTACGATATTGTTGAAATCGTACAGAAGATTTGCCTGCAAATGAATTCGTATTTTGGTAAAAAGGTAGATTCATGTCTAATCCATATTTAATTCCCAATCATAACATTAAATTTTCCCGATTCTCATGCAGGTGATTTTTACGATTCTATCAGCCTTCATTTGCCTTACCGTTCAACTCTTCTATGTCATTAATAACATTCGACATTCCTTTCAAAATGAGAATTCTGTTTTGAGTACAGCTGCCAGTTGCAGCTTAATATTCACGCATATACTTGAATTATGGGTTATTTTTATCAGCGGTCATCGTGTTAAAGATATGTGGAATTCACTCATTAAGCGGGTACAGAGTACAAAACGAAGATTTGCAGTCGATGAGGCTATCCGTTGTAGAATTGATGAGCTTGTTTCTATCATGACATTTACTAGAGTTGAAATGAAAGCTGCTGGTTTATTTAATATTGATTTGAGTGTGATTACCAGTGTGAGTTGGTTTTCTTATGTCTAATTTGGTTCCTGGAAGTTTAATCTAATTTTAAAAACTTTTTCTCAAAAGATTGCATCATCGATAGCTACTTATTTGATCGTTTTGGTTCAATTCAAATTATCAGAAGATTCAACAAGGAACAATCATAGCGGAAATGACATTAAACTTTTCAATCAACCTGAAACTCCTCATAAACCAATGATGCTGAATTAAAGCATCAATTTTGAATATTTGTGTTTAAAAGATAACGCTGAGCTCTTGAGAATTTATGTTGCTGGATGTTTAAACAAAAACTTAATTAAGTGTCAGAATTTTCTCCTCTAAATCTCATAATCTTATTAAAATATTCGACCGTAACAAGTTTTTAATTAATCACATAAACAGTTTTAAGATTCCATAAGCAGCATATGCACTGAATTTACATATTTATGTTATTCATCGCAAACAAACAAAAAAGTATGTTTGGCATAGTGAAGAAAATGAAGAAAAAAATTATGTTGCCGTTAAATTTAATAGCTTTGAAGCACGCGATAACATGATTTTTTAATTCTTACTTTCTTCTCGTTTTCTTGTTTTTTCCTCATTTTCTGATTCTTTCATGTCGAAGTTTGAAGAAGATTTTTTTTTGTTTTAAAATTATTTCACAAATTTTGAAATGTTTTATGACGAATGAAAGTGTATCAAATTTTTTGGGTATCTTGGGTTGTGACATGATATGCTATGGAGTGAGTTACAATTAGAGATTTCTAAATGAAATGAAGTCATTGACAATTGTCAAGGGTTAGAGTCCATTTATTGTAACTGTTGAAAAATTAATGTTAATTTATGGGTGAATAAATGAATAATGTTGCACTTTCTAATGTGGAATTAGAATTTTTTATGATTTTTTTAGAATTAACTTTAAATGAAGAACTGAAAGTTGAAGAATTGATTAAAAGCACCGGCATTTTACATTTGTCACAAAGCAAATTTGTCTGATTTATTTTATTTCAGCGTAAACAGCTTTGATATTAATATGCGACGACATCTTTCACTTGGATCTCGCTTTCTCCCTTGTGCAAAAGTGTTATTACTGAGTATGTGAGAGTTACGGTGTACTTCAATAAATTCATGATTGCAAAAAACATTTGCCAAAATACAAAAAGTACAAATGAGATAATAAATTCTCATATTCTCTTCAACTTAGTACTTTATCAATTAAATGAATATTCAAGACTGATTTATTAATATTATAAAAATCTCAAAAAGAGAAACTAGAAGTCGTTTGAATGATTATCATAACATGTGCATTCAATAAAGATCATTGGTGCACATGACGTCACAGTAAGGTAGATGTGAGAGAAGTGTTCTAAAACGAAACAATTTCTTAGATTTTGATTATTTGTTTTTGAAAAATAAACATTGATTTCAGACGTCATTTATGAACGAACGCTTGCTAAAAGGTGCGACAACGGAAAACCCCACAATTCATCTCAATTCACATTTGAAGTTTAAATTTCAAGTTTTAAGCTTGCAATCAAATAAAAAAAATGTAAAAATTAAGATTCCACATATCCTCAAATTCTTACTGCTCAAAAAATGAGAGTCACAATCATCATCTCAAATCATCCATATCTTCTTCCCATACAAATTCTTTCAATTAACATCGCACGCTTGCTTAAAGAGGCAAACACACACACACATTAACAAATCTAAATGAGACGGATGTTGAAGATTTATGCTCTTTATATAATTCATAATTATCATGCATAATAAGTATTAATTCACATACACTAAATGCTTACCGTACCTAACTGTTCTATCATCTTCATCATCACTCAAACAGATACAAATTTGTGATGGGACATAATTCATAATTTATTTAAAACTCACGTAGATTATGAAAAAAAAAACTTCTCATCTCATTTAAATTTTTTTTTATGAAAATTATGACAAAAATTATTTTTAATCATATGCGATGAGCATTCATTCCCTCCCTCATCCTCAACATAGTTTGTGTGCTGTTAGCAATAATGAATGTTTAAATGACATTTAAATGCTTCTTGCATTAAAAACTTCAAGTGCACTTAATTCTTACTTAAATATTCTCTTGCTTGTCTCTGACTCACACTTTCTAGTTCGTTCGGAAGTGACAAAATCCATAGAGTTTAATTAGTTGTGTCGTCTGTACGCTTTTTTAGAGAAAACTTTTTATTTGTTGCAAAAAGGCAGATGAAAGTTGTCTCTTTTTGCTGGTGTTTTGAAATTACTAATTGGATGTTGCGGTATGGTAGTTTAGGATACTTGAGTATTTTTTGCATGAATTCTGACTGCAATTGATTTGAATTCGACTAAAATTTTTGTAACGAACATTTTGATTTTGAAAGAATTCTTCCTTTACAATTTGAATTTTAAATAACGGTTATTTTTAAATCTAATTCTGATCATTTTAGGAATTTTTAAGGTACATGATTCAATACTACTCAATTCTCACCTCAAAATGCGCAGTCAAAACTTAATCGATTCCTAAATCAAATACATCATCCAAACTTTTCTCCTTCTAACAGAGCATAGAGCATGCCATCGCATTGTATGCCATACATCTGCAGTTGAAGTTAATTTAAACTGCATTTAATTAGTTTCAAGCAGGAAAAAATGAGAGAAAAATTAAGAGTGAAAGAGGAGAAGGAAAAAACTTTTAATTCCTTCAGATTGCCTTCGTAAAAGTGAAAGGAGCAAAAAAAAGAATCACAGAGAAATTTTCCATCTCAAGTGATGTCTGAAGAGTAGAAATTTTTTAGCAAATACTAATTTTTTTACAGAAGCACTTGAAAGTTTTTTGGGGCGGATGGAATGAGGATTTTGGTCTTGGAACAAAATAAAATATTGCATTTTGAGGTTTCCTGATTGCTTTTTCTATTCTACTTGAATGGGAAATTAAATAAGTTTCTTATTGTTGTGCTGTATAGAAGTATTGCTATGTAGTAATGAAATTTCTAGGAGCCTGAGTGGAATAGAAGGATTTGGAAGTGTTCATAAATGCACAGTCCAGTGTTGTTGACTTAGATGCGTAATGTCAATATGGATCAATGAAGTTTATGAAGATAGTTTGAGATCGAACATTAACCAAGGTAAAACTATAATCCTTAAGGTAGCCATATTAGATCAAGATAATCCTAAACATTGTCAACTAATCAAGTCTTGTCCTAGAAAACCAAATAATGCAAAACAACAAATGCTCGAGTCTAAAACAAATTTTAATCACTTCATTCAAATACCGAGACAACAACTCTAATTCCAACTCTATTTGTGGCTCAAGTGTTAATAATCTTGCTAAATATTTGTAGAATCAATTTATTCCTTCTTCACTTAAATAAAATTTGTTGTGATTCAATATCCCAAGCAACAATTTGACCAATATTTCCATTAATCTGTCAATACCATCGCTCAACCCCAACACTTTATAATTGAAACTTTTACAATACCAACTCTCATCAATTTCTCTGCCTCAACTCTAATTGAAAAAAAAAACTGTGACAGTTTCATGTCATCAACAGTATCAACCAACTATTTTTCCCCCAAAAACATTGTATTTTTCATTGTCCTCCCTTGACTTTGGATGTAAACCAGAAAAGCCAAAATTGAAATTATTTTGTAAATGAATTTCCACATGACATGGCACTTTAATTTATGTAATTTGATGAAAAAGTTGATATTGTGAAATTTTTTGTGGTTGTCACAGAAAAGAATCTCTTCATCCCTACTGACTCAATGTTGAAAATACATAAAATCTTTTGTGTATGGCCTTAAAATTGTTTATCAATAAATAGAGCATGAAAAACAATTAGTAGATGTAAGGAATAATTTTTTTTATTCAGGGACGCAAAAAATGAGCGTAAAAAATTCCTTTCCGATCAAAAATCAGTCATACACATGCACAAAAAAAGGAGGAAGAGAGTGAAGTGGTGTGAAGTGAAGCTTAAAATTCGAATACGTGAATGAAATGATTGGAGGCCTCCCTCAAAAAAATCTTTACTTTTCTCCCTTCTTGGGACGATTCATTGATGCTTGTGATTCTGGTAAGTGCATTGCTTCCTTAAATTCTTAGATGCGGATTTCCTTGATTTTTTTTTAAATTGGTTGATTGAGTTTGGAAGCTTTCAATTGACTAAATGTCTTGATGGTAAGTTTTACACCGGTTTGCATGATTAGATGGAAATTTTGCATCATTCAGTGCAAAGTTCGCATCATTCAACTTTAACTTCGCATCTTCGAATGCCAACTTCACTCTGTTCAACTTAATATTCCTTAAAAACTGCGCATCAAACCAAAAATTCCTTTAGAACCAATCAAACTATCTTCACTCCTCTTAATCTCCTAACCTTTGTTCATTTGACGCAATACACAAGCTCATATACATATGTGAGGATGATGTAAATTTATCGTTACTAATTGCTGCACACTTCTCTGCCTCATCTAATAATAAGAGACACTTCCTGCCAACACAACAACAAAAAAAATATTTCATTAAAATTCATGACAAATAACATAAAAGGAGGAAGAAGACGAGACAAGAAACATGAAAATTGTTTGATATCAATATTCTTATCATTTTATTACCTTCATTCTGTACGTGCGTACACATGTATACTCTGCTATTTCGATAATAGCAATTGTTGTTTCTGTGTACATTATGTAAGACAATGAGGTGATGTAATTTAATTTCGTTCATGCATTAAATGGGATGTGTTGAAGATAAAGTCAAGAAACAAGGAAAATAAAAGCAAATATAATCAAGGTTTCCTCAAGAATGTGTAGATGTAAATAAATTAGCAAATGTATGGGATTGAAGCACTTCGACAAAATCTCGGTGAATCGTTTCATAGATGAGCGATGTGAGAAAATGTGGAAAACTGTGCAGAATGATAAAAATAAATTTATTTTAAAAAGCACAATTTTATTCCATTTAGAAATTCATGGCTTGTATACATGTGGGTGATTTTGCACTTATGCAATTTTTATGATACCGTAATGTGACTTTGTTGGATTATGGAGAGGAAAATTTGCGGTATGGAAATGGAAGAGATTTGTTCTAGATTTTCTATCGATTGATATGAATTTAATGTGTTTTGGATCTATGAGTTCGAGGGTGTCTTCTCACCTTGGAACATTGAGTTAAAATTTGAAAACAACATACATTCACATCCCTTGTATTCAACCAATGTTAGCAAAGA